CTTCCATGGTCTCAGGGAAGCTTTTACACCTGTCAGATTGTACACCAGTTGTCACTAGTGGACGGGGCGCTGAGTGCTGAGTAAGCCGGGAAGTGAGTCTGCTAAGGGTGGACCTGAGATGACAGGTGGGTTCCCAGTGCAGCCCAGGCACCAGGAGCACCTATCCGAGTAAGTATTAGTTACAGCTCTGAGGGGAAAGTATCCTGGCAGTTAGGAGTCCAGAAGTGCCACAATCAGACCTCACACACGAGATCCACTGGGAAAGACACAGGATGGAAGCTGCCTCTTCTCAGGAGAGAACTGAGTGGGGGGGGAGGGGCAGGCTTTGTGTAGTGTTTGGGGGGTTGGGACAGAGCTTTCCAGGGTGGCTTGGGATTGGCAGTATTCTGTGGCCTGATTTTGGGCTTCTTTTCTCTGCAGAACAGAGCTTGGATGCCGACCCTTACGGTCCTTAGAGTAGTCTGGGGTTGGGGCCTGGCTAATTGCAGTCCTTGAGATTTACCGCTAGCACAGAATGTAAGAATAAATGGAAGAGGAAAAGAGACCTAGCTCACGTAATATTTGGAAAAGTAAAATCCTAACCAGCATCAACTATCTGGGGTCGGTTTTCAGATGCACTGCAATCTGTCAAAGAACTAACAGCTTTTCCCTAGAAATTAACAGCTAGGTTGTAAAATTCCTTATGGGAAAAAAATCACCAAGAATGATTAAAACATCTGGTCAGTGGTAACAAATGCCTTTAATCACAGTACTTGGGAGGCAGAGGTAGGCAGGTCTCTTGAGTTCCAGAACAGCCAGAGTTGTTACACAGAGAAACCCTGTCTTGAAATACCTAATAAAATAAAATAAAAAAAATAGTTAGAACAGTCTTGTAGAAGAACTGATTTATTTTAAACTTATTACGTATGCAGTTTACTTGGGTTAGGAAAATGCCTTGGTGGAGAAGATTGCACGCTGTTCAAGCATGAGGCCTTGAGTTTAATAACAAACACTCACCTAAGTAAAACTTGAACGTGACTACACAGTTGGGGGTGGAGTCCCTGGATAACTGTACAGCCTACCCCAAATGGTAAGCTTCCTGTTCAGGGAAAGAGCTTGCCTTTAATTTTTTTTCTCTTAATTATGTGTGTACATGTGTAAGTGTTTAGCCTTCATGTTTGTATGTGCACCATATGCATGCAGAGTCTGCACAGAACAGAAGAGAGCATTAGATCCCTAGGAAGTGAAGTTAGAGACAATTGTGAGCCACCATGTGGGTGCTGGAATTGGAACTCGGGTCCTGGAAGAGCAACAAGTGCTCTTTTTTTTTTTTAACATTTTATTTTTTATTTATTTATTTAACTTTATTATGTTCGTTGGTGTGAAGGTGTCAGATCTCGTGGAACTACATTTTCAGACAGTTGTGAGCTGCCATGTGGGTGCTGGGAATCGAACCCGGGTCCTCTGGAAGAGCAGTCAGTGCTCTTAACCACTGAGCCATCTCTCCAGCCCCGCAACAAGTGCTCTTAATGACTGGTCATTTCTTTCTCCCTGAGAGACCTTGTCTGAAAGGAATAAGGTGAACAGAAATAGAGGAAGAGACTCAATTGTCCTCCTCTAGTTTCTGCATGCACAACTATGAATATATAGCCATGCAGTCTATGTACAAATAACACACACACCAAAAATAAACAGTTAAATTTAAAATAGTTGAAATGGCCAAGCATGGTACTGGCACATGCCTATAGTCCCAGCAGAGTTTAAAGGCAGCTTGGACTATAAGGTGAGATTTTCTTTGAAAAAACAAATACAATTTGATGGTAGATGCCATGCTCTTCAGATTTTACTATAAAAATGCACAAAATTGCCAGGCGGTGGTGGCGCACACCTTTAATCTCAGCACTCGGGAGGCAGAGGCAGGCGGATCTCTGTGGGATGGAGGCCAGCCTGGTCTACAAGAGCTAGTTCCAGGACAGGCTTCAAAGCATCACAGAAACTCTGTCTCAAAAAACTAAAACAAAACACAAAGTTAGATGAAGCTACAATAATCAAGAGAGTATGGTAGTATCCTAAGGGTAACTTTCTGAGGTGATGAGACAGAAGCCAGAAGTTTACTTCTAAAATGGATGGATTTCAACAAAAGTATCATGGCCATTCAGTGGGGAAGCGAATCTTTCTAACAAGTGGTGCTGGTTGCTATGTGTAAATTTTGATTTCCACATGTAAAAGTTAAATGAGAATAAACCAAAGATCTAATTGTAGGTACAACAACAATAAAAAGCAAGCAAATACAGTTACCAATCTGCATGAATCTGGAGTAGGCTACGGCCTTTGCATACATTGAATTTCAGGAAAGTTAGCCTTTCTTTCTCTCCCATCAAATGCTACAAACAAGAAAGTGAATATCAAGTGGCTGGCATTGGTGACACATGCCAGTAATCCAGTGTTTGCAAGGCTTTCAGGAGGGCTTTGTGTGAGGCTAGCCTTAGCTTTATAGCCAGAACTCGTTGATTGCTTGGTTGGTAGGAAAGTGGATGATAAGAATTGGGTGGCTAGAAGGAAAGCAGATGCTAAGAATTAGGTGGCTGAATGGATGTATGGATGGATGATTTGTGGGTGGGTAGGTAGGTAGATTGGTGGATGGTTGATAGAAAATTAGAAGACTAAAATTTTGGAGAAAAAAAAGATGCAAAATGTACATACATTTAGTTTAAGGAATCTAAGTAAGGACTATTATCCAAAATACGCAGCTCCTCCCTCTCCCTGCCCAGTGGTGCTGGAACCAAACCCAAGCCCTTACTGCATGAGCAGGCAATGTCCATTCCTCTTTGTTTTTATCCTCAGACCATAAAGAACTCAAAACTCAGTAAGAAAATGAACATCCCAATTACAAAATGGGCAAAAGCCAGGCGGTGGTGGCATACGCCTTTAATCCCAGCACTCGGGAGGCAGAGGCAGGCCTCTGTGAGTTCGAGGCCAGCCTGGTATACAAGAGCTAGTTCCAGGACCGAAACCAAAAAAGCTACGGAGAAACCCTGTCTCGAAAATTAAAAAAAAAAAAAAGAAAAGAAAAAGAAATAAAAAAATGGGCAAAATTCCTGAACTGACATGGTGTCAAAGAAGAAACCAATAGGAATACACTCTTGAAAGGCCCCTGGTGTGGTGTGTCACTGGGGAGTTGTACCTTACAGTAAGGACAAATGCAGAACCAATGCTAGCCGGGCACCAGAGCAGCAGGAACTTGACCGCGTTGCTGGGTAGCGTGCAGTGTCTTCAGAATTAAACAGACTAACCACACATTACAGCAGTCATAATCCAGAGATTTTTGTTCACAAGTTGGGAAGGTATATACCACAAAACTTCACAGACATTTACATTGGTTCTATTTGTAACCGTCTAAACCTAGATGTAAGAAGCATGTACTTTATTTAGTAGGGACTGGATAAGCTAGTACATCCAGACAATCATTGCTAAAAAGACATCACTGATCAGGGTGGTGGTGGTGGTGGTGGTGGCGGCACACACCTTTAATCCCAATAGTGGCAGAGACAGGTGGATCTCTGAGTTCCAGGACAGCCAGGACTGTTACACAGAGAAACCCTGTCTCAAAAATAAAACAAAAAGATATGACTCTGTAGTGCTTATACTTGTAATTCCAGCAATAGGTTGATGTAATCAAAAGCTTGAAGCTAGGCAGGTGATGGTAGTGCCTTTAATACCAACACTATCTCCACAAATAAATAAGTAAATAAGAGCACACTCACACTTGTGTGTACAGCCCTGGGAGGGACCCTCATCACCGTACAGATAGAAAGGAAATCCGCTGGTGGAGTGGCATGCTCCTGTAGTTCATCCCCTTCAGAGGTGAAGGTTCAAAGGAGCTTAAGGTCATCCTGGGCAACAGAACACACCCTTGTTTCCAAGGAAAATATAACTGAAAAACTATTCTACACGTATTTATTTTGTGTATGGGCACACATGTGCTATGGCATGCATCTGAAATTAGAAGACCATCTCTGAGCCATTTCACCTGTTAAAAATAAAATGTATTTAAAGGCTTAGGGCCAGATTTGGTGGCTCAGACCTTTAATCCCAGCACTCAAGAGGCAGGCAGATAGTTTGTGAGTTTGAGGCCAGGATGGTTTACAGAGTGAGTTCCAGGACAGTCAGCTAAACAGAGAAACCTCAAAAAAAAAAAAAAAAAAGGAAGGAAGAAAGAAAGAAAGAAAAAAAAAAGATCTCTTAAGGGCTGGAGAATTGACCAGTTGTTAAAAGCACTGGCAAATGACTTGGCTTCCATTCTCAGCACCCGCGTGGTGGCTCACAACGATAGCTCCACTTCCAGGGGATTCGTCTTGACTGCTCAGGTCCCAGACAGGCACATAGTGTGTAGATGTACATGCAGGCAAACCCCCACATACATAAAATTATTTTATTTTATTTTTTTGTTTTTTGAGACAGGGTTCCTCTGTAGCTTTGGAGCCTGTCCTGGAACTAGCTCTTGTAGACCAGGCTGGCCTCGAACTCACAGAGATCCGCCTGCCTCTGCCTCCCGAGTGCTGGGATTAAAGGCGTGCGCCACCACCTGGCCATAAAATAATTTTTTAAATAATAGAATAAAAATAAACCCAGCAAAAGTTTATTGTGTTCATTAAATTCTTGCCAGCCAGTAAAGCTTATAATTTCTAAGCCATAAATAAGAATATTAAAAAACTGGGTGGCCAAGTCAGTGTCAGAGGTCAGCACTGCTGCTGGAAGAGAAAGCAGCTGGATGCAGGCTCTTGTCTGTAACCCCAGCACTTCAGAGGAGGAAGTGCCTCAACCCAAAATGAGCCAGAAAAAGCTGTCAGTCAGTGTGCACAGCCGGCTGAAACTGTAGCCGCCCACTTGCCCTACGTGCTGTGGCCTGCCTTCCGGCTGCAGCTCTGGCCACAGGAATGGAGTGAACAGGGTTTGACTTTTCAGCTTAAAGCAGTGTGTAAGTGAAAGCAGGCGTGAAAAATTCTTTTTTCTCTTTGCAGGTTAAAGAAGAAAGAGTTCAGTTTAGAAGAAATATATACAAACAAGAATTACAAGTCTCCTCCTGCGAACAGGTAACTCCTGTGGCTGGGCTAAGGGGGAGGTGCTAGAATGATTGACACCTCATCTTTCGCACTCAGGCAGTCCTATTTAGCTATGCCCGGTATTGGTTGGGGTTTTGTTGTTGGGGTTTCTTTGTGAGGTTCTCTTGTTGTGCAGGCTTGGCTAGTGAAAAATTCACAGATCTACCTGCCTCTGCCTTGGGAGAATTCTGGGACCAAAGGTGCCCCCAATTCTGGCCCAGTATTGGACTTTAGAAATAGCTAGAATGGAGACCAGCCTGGTCTACAAGAGCTAGTTCCAGGACAGGCTCCAAAACCACAGAGAAACCCTGTCTCGAAAAACCAAAAAAAAAAAAAAAAAAAGAAAAAGAAAAAGAAAAAAAAAGAAATAGCTAGAATGGGGGTTTGGGTTGACATGATAGACAGACAAGAAGTCTTTGTGGGCTATGGGCTCATAGATATGTTCACCTTGCAGCTGTGTTTGCTGAATACACTGGCTAGCTTTGTCTGCGCTACTAATTTCTCTTTCAACCACGATTTCAAGCCCAAATACAGACAAATGTCACTTGGCCACCTTGGGATCAAAATTCAGTTTGAAGCAGTGACAGTTATTGACTGTTTTATCTGGGATAAAGGAAGAGATTCCTGGCATTTTATCCCAGTATTTGCACATGGGCTCTGCCTACAAGACATTCATTTTCAGGAGACTATTCATTGCAGGATTGCTGAGTGATGGGAAAGAACTGGAAACAACCAAAGTGTCCGTTACTAGGGTTTCCACTCAACTTTGGTCCATTTTTATTATGAAATATAATGCATGCTGTTGAAAATGAATCAGACAGTATTGTATTCAATGAAAACAAGCTTCGGGGTCTTTGATGGGTAGGAGGAGCCCCACGTGCGACAGTGTGCTGTTTGCTGCTGTGGAGATACATACCACCAGTTAGCAATTCTAGGCCCACTCAAAGCCTGTCCCCAAACCACGTGACCCTCCTTCAGCCTCCCTGATAGTTGGGATTAGAGACTTGCATCCCCACACCTGACTTTCCTTTTTGTTGATGTTGTTGTTGTTGGTTGGTTTTGAAACAGGGTTTCTCTGTGTAGCCCTGAATGCCCTAGAGCTGGCTCTGTAGACCAGGGTGGCTTCAAACTCAGATTTACCTGCCTCTGCTCCTCCTGAGTGCTGGGATCAAAGGAGTGCAACTCCATGGCCCAACCTAACTTTTAGTTTATTTTTTTTATTTTTTTATTTTTTTGTTTTTGTTTTTCGAGACAGGGTTTCTCTGTGGTTTTGGAGCCTGTCCTGGAACTAGCTCTTGTAGACCAGGCTGGTCTCGAACTCACAGAGATCCACCTGCCTCTGCCTCCCAAGTGCTGGGATTAAAGGCGCGCGCCACCACCGCCCGGCTGGTTTATTTATTTATTTATTTTTTAATGACCATGCTGAAAGCTGGGTGGTGCTATCTGCACACCTTCAATCCCAGCACTAAGGAGGCAGAGGCAGGTGGATCTCTGAGTTTAAGGCTAACTTGGTCTATAGAGCCAGTTCTAGGACATCCAGGGCTACACAGAGAAACCTTGTCTTTAAAAAACTAAAACAAAAAACAAAAACCATGTTGGGGTTGTATCCCAGACCCTCGTGTGTCCTAGACAAAGACTCTATGTCCTCAACCACCAGTTTTTATTTGTTTTATTTTATTTATTTATTTTTGGGTTTTTTCTTTTCTTTTTTTTTTTTTTTTGGTTTTTCGAGACAGGGTTTCTCTGTGGTTTTGGAGCCTGTCCTGGAACTAGCTCTTGTAGACCAGGCTGGTCTCGAACTCACAGAGATCCGCCTGCCTCTGCCTCCCGAGTGCTGGGATTAAAGGCGTGCGCCACCACCGCCCGGCTTTGGGTTTTTTCGAGACAGAGTTTTTCTGTAGTTTTGGCACCTGTCCTGGACTAGCTCTTGTAGACCAGACTGGCCTCGAACTCACAGAGATCCGTCTGTCTCTGCCTCATGGGTGCTGGGATTAAAGGTGTGTACCACCACCGCCCAGCATTTTATTATTTTTATGGTTTGTGGGCTAATAGCTTTGTTCACAAAAGGAAAACTCAAAACAATTTTGTGATAGAGAACCACATGGCTCTCAGAGATTAAAAGGTTTACTGTCTAGAGCCTGGTATGGTAGATTAGCACACCTATAATCCAGATACTTGTGAGGCAGAGGTCAGGGAGGCAGGAAATTAGGTCATCCTTAGCTATACAGGAAGTTTGAGGCCAGCCTGGGCTGTGACAAAAGGTTTGCTGTTTGCCCAGTGTCTACTATGTTACTTCAGTGTGTCTACATATTAACTTTGGAGAACATACACAAAACCAGCAGTTAGTGGTGTTATACATACTGGAGTGAGGAGCTAGCCTTAATTGTGCTGTATATCCTTCTCTTTGAACTTTTTTCACTTTGTGCACATATTTCTCCTATGCATGGAAATAGCTGCTGGCCATAGGAAACAGTCGAGTTGGGAGTCAGCACAGGCAGCTTTTGGTCTGCATGGTGACCAGCTGGGCTCTGTGAGTTCCCGCTGGTGATTGTGAGTTGTGCTCTATCCTCAGGTGTTTAGAGACCATCTTCGAGGAACCCAAAGAACGAAATGGCACACTGGTCTCCGTCAGCCAGCAGAAAAGGAAGCGTGTTCTGGAATTCCAGGATTTTACCCTGCCCCGAAAGAGACGCGCTCGAGGGAAAGTGAAGCTGATGGGCAGCTTCACGAGGGCCCAGAAGGCGGCTCTACAGACTCGAGAGCTGGATGCGCTTTTGATCCAGAAGCTGCTGGAACTGGAGACTTTCTTTGCCAAGGAGGAGGAGCTGGAGCAGTCAGCGAGCTGCTGAGAATGCTGCAGCCGGGTCTCCATGCTGGATCTTTTTAGATCTCCCTGGAATAGGTTCCCTGATTTTGCCCTATGCCTAAACCACTCAACGATGCCCAGTCCATGAAGTTTTACTTATTTCAAGGTGCAGCCTTTTTAGAAGCTGGTGAAGAAGGGTCCTCTAATTCTACTGCTGAGTATAGAGCCTCAGGAATGCTCCCTTTCTCCTGGGAATGGTCCTGAATGATATCAGGCCACCTCCTTCCTGTCTCTCCCATCACAGGTGGAAGAAACCACACATCCTAAGCAACACTAGGGATCTAAGGACTCGGTGTTTGTGCATCCACATGAAGTTCCTCTGTTTATGGTGCTGCTCGACCAAGACATAGAAACCCGGCCTGGGGGGGCACCTGGCCAATTGGCCTGTGTGTTCCCACCAGCTCTTTTCAGTGATTGAGAAGAATGAACTGGTGTGTTTCCTGATCTCTGCCCAGGACCTTTAGACTGAGAGAATGTGTGTTTGTGTGTTTGTGGCTTTGCCCCATCTTTTCTCCCATCTGTGAGTGTGGGTCACTAGTGCCAGAGGAGCCCATCCAGGCCCCAACGTAAGTTGCACTTTTTTAATGTTAGTGTTGATAATTTTCATTTTTTTCTTTTTTGTTTTTGTATGCTGCATGTTTGGGGTCTCTAAATGTGATTTTAAAACACTTTGTAAGACATTAAGGAGAAAGGCGATACAAGTCTTAAGAGAGTATATGACAGGCATTTGATCAGCACATGGATGGGGAGTGTCCCCATTTATGTTTCAGGCAGCCCCTCCTCGTCTCCAGCTTCTCATGTAGCTCATTGAAGGAAGCTCTTTTCATCCTCCTCCTCCGTCCTGCCCACTTAGTACACGTAGCTGTTTAGTGGCATATGTAAAAGCAGAGCTCTCAAAAAGATTAAGGTTGAGTGTGGTTTTCTGTGAAATGTTGGTATATGGCAAAGTTGGGACAGTGGTGACAGAGGCTGGCCCGGCGCATTTGCAGCTGCTTGAGTGCCTGCTTCAGGAGTAGGAGAGAGCTGATGGATAGATGAGACCCAGCGAGCCATCCCTCCAGCAAGACCCCGACATCCCAGAGCCAGTTGCCTCTGCGAGAGCCTCACATAGTCTGGTCCTTTGCCAAACCTACTGGAAATGGTTCACATGCTGGAAGTAGCGCAGTTTCTCAGTTTGTATCCAAGGAGTCTGCAGGCAGTAGGCTGCCTTGTCTGGGCAGCAGCCCCAGAGTCATCTTCCCACTGTGCCCTCACCATGCTCTCCAAGGCTCACCTTGTGTTTTCTCATTCCAGGATCTCCTACTCTTTCTGTCTACCCCACAGTTCACGTACAGATAGTTAGCATTCTTGCCTGATGAGTAGGCTGCTCCTCCCAGCCATTGGGTGCCGGTCACCTCTTGCCATGCTCCTAGCTCTGTCCAGGGACGTTTTTCTGTCTGTAGAGAAGAGTGCGTGGTGCTGTGCTGAATGTTAGTCACCGCTCCTAGAATTCCTTCATTCCCTGGCTGGGGAGAAGGGGTGCAGGCTTGTGGTCTTCACGTGCCTATCCTTTGTAGGTTGATGGGCTAGGCCACACTGGAACAGAAAAATAGACATGAGCAGAGGGAAAATGTACCATGACCTTCACCACCTCAGTCGTTAAATAAGTTAGCACACAGCTGCTTCTCTGTGGAGTCTTTGAAGGTCATGACCCCTTGGTTGAGAAGAGTGTGGGCTAGTGTACACGCTGGCCCTCAGTGTTGTGTGCAGATCCCTGTCTTAGCCATGTTGCCCAGACCGTACAGATGTGGTCTGTGTTGACCCTAACGCCTCCCTTCTTGGGGCAGGATTCTAAGGTACTCTGTGCTTCTGAGCTCTGTCATGTGACTGCAGGAAGTGGAGTGGGCTACACATTGTGCCACAAATACATCTGTACATTAGACAGCTTGCAAGCTAGCAGGCAGTAAACGACCGTTGACCAGTTTCACCACCAGGGTCACTAGGGCATCCAGATCACCCAGAAGACAAAAGGTGAGGTGTGCACAACTGTGGCACCAGCAGCATGACAGAGCTTCCAAATTTGCCTATGACAAGGGTTGCACTGGCCTGGACTGTTAGCAGGACTGGAGAGACACAGCTCCACCATAGTCCTGGGCAGTCCTAGGAGGGAAACTGCAGTTCTCGGCCTTCCCTTGGCAAAGGCTCTTCTACTTCAGAGCTAAGAGAAGTTTACTCGTTGAGTAGGTCCCACTCGGCCACACCTGTCTTACCGTCCAGATTCACAGTAAGCCAAACTTGGAACCTGAGCATGATGGGAGATAACGGGTGGTTGGGATGTCACCAGCCGGAACTACAGATCTGTTTTGGGCTGGGAGTTGGAATTTCTGAGGGTGGGGAGCTCTCACCCCAAGTGATAGAAACTGCCATTAAGCACAACTTAGTAGCGCTCAGCTCCAGAAGTTAAGGTTATGGAGAAAGGAGAGAGACCTCAGCTCCAACCAGGTTTCAGCCCATTTCCTTTGCTGTGTTTCGGTTTCTAGCTGTAGCAGCCTCCTTCCCTCCCGTTAGTGCCTCTCATCTTCTCTCCCTACTCTCTGTTCAGTCTTTCCCTCCATTTGTCTAGATGTCCCTCATCACCTGTGAACGCAGATTGTGTCTGTCTTCCCTGCTGCCCCTGCTGGAAGAGCTGACTGCGAGGGAGGCGCAGTAGAAAGATGTGTAGCTTTGCCTTACTCGAGCTTTGATGAGCTCGGAAACTCATGCTGTGAATCCTAAACTTTGTGCTCCTCCAAGAGCTGTGAAAATCATGACTTTTTTTTTTTTCACATTTTGCCTGAAAGGGTCTTTTGTGAGGGCTCCAGAGCCAACCTGAGGTCAATTCTAGATCCCACTCTGTGGGCATCCTTCCCCTGGGGCATATCCTCTGCCCACCAGGCTAAGAACAGCAGCAAGTCTGCAGGACTGTGGCAGCAGGTCCAGGGCTGCAGTGCAGCCAAGTGGACACAGTCCTTGGTCTCCCAGGATGGCCAGGGCTCCACCTCCTCTGTCCCATGAGCATTAAGATCTGCACAAGACAACTTAGGTCATGGTGCTTTCCTCCTGCCCATGGGGGAAGGGAGTATGCAGCTGGTGCTTTCTTTAGTCCCCTTGTTTTGTTTCTACAGCTTTCCCCTGGTATCATGAAAAGGGCCTTTTTAATGACCACATTATGGGTGGCTGTATCCAAAGTGTAAAGAATTGGCCAGAGGTGTGGAATGACCTCCCCTGGGTTCCTGTCAGGAGAGGGCTGCTTTCCTGAACTGAACTTCTGCATAGAACTGGCTAGGAAGGGAGACTTTTGTTCAAATCATAATTAATATTCCCTTTTAGCACAAGTTGAGCAGCAAAAGCTATCTTGATTGTGAAGCTGGGGTCCTCATAGCCACCATCCAGCACAGCGAGCTGAGTTCGAGGCTTGTTCTGTCCCTACAAGACTCTGGTGTTGAATTGGATTTGAATTCTCAACAAGAGGCCCCCTTGAGCTGTTGGTTGCTGTCTCATGTGTTCCTCTGTTATCATGGCTAATAGTTCAGTGAAATGTGTCCATCTTTGGTAATGCTGGTATACATGATGCCCCTACAGTTCCTTTTCTGTTCGATAGTTTGTGACTCTAAATGCCCACTGTTACATGAATTAATTTATGAAATAAATTTTTCTTGAAAACTTCTCAGATAATTGTCAAGGTTATTTTGTTCTTAGGACTTGGTAATAGATTCAGATTCTTGTCAGTAAATGATCTAAAGGTTAGGTTGTTGTTGTTTTAATTTGACATTCCAGAGCCTTGTATCAAACATCCATTCCAGAGTGGCCATCCTTTCCCCGAACCTGCCCTCTATTCAGCACATGTTTGGAACTTTGGGTAGCTTCCAGAGGCTCACAGAGCTTAGGGAAGTGGCCAGTCATCCCTTCCCCAGAGAGACTGGTACTAGAAACAGTCCTTTGGAGCAGTCATACCCAGTTAAAGTGAATCACTGATGAAGTGTTTGGGTTGTGAATTTTGTTTATTTTTGGCAGTAGGAGTGTGTTATTTGAAACAGGATCTTACTATGTAGCCTCACATACCATAAGGCCAAAATAAATCTGAGTTCCATTTAGGGTTCTGCTCATCTCATAGCCTTGGCTGGCCCCGAACTCACGATCTTCCTGCGTTAGCCTGTTGGGATTATAGAAAACTGCAGTGGGCTAGGTGTGGTGATTTGTGCCTGTAATTCCAGTAAGACAATGACAAGTTCAAGGCTAGCCTGGGCAGTAGAGTGAGGTCCCATCTCAAAATAAAACTAGTTATTAATGCATCTCACTTTCTCCCAGGACAGAGGAGCCAGTGTGCTTGTAAATTCTCTGGTGAAAATATTTCCTTTGTCGGGACTGTCTGAAGCAAGAGTGGAAATGCAGTAGGCTCCATTCGTTTAGTTTTGAGACAGCCTCATCTTCTACCCTGGCCTCCTAGTTGAATGACCTGACCAGTTCATAACCGTGCAGTGAAAGCATTAGCTTCCTGGGGTGCTTTTCTCTCACCAAGCAAAAGCAGTGCCTCATTTGCCTCTTGAACTCTGAGCTTGAGCAGCAAGGAACTCCATCCATACTGTGCTTTCAGCTAGGGAAGTGTCCTATCTGATGGCTGTGCTGCTGCATGTCCAAGAGCTCTTACCTACACACAGCTAATCTTCAAGTAAGGCATTGTTCATTGTTACTAACCATACCGCATCGTGGTTCCTGAGTTAGCGCGCCAATCCTGATGTAAGACTTCTCCAGATGAGTTTAGATGAAGGGGAGAAAACACACTTGTACAGTCCTTCTGGAACTTCTCTCAAGAAATGTTCTGGAAAAGTCCTAGTTTTCCGAGCTCCAGGACTGGAGGTGAATTTTTCATAGCGTCTTTCTTAAGTCTCTGTGCCCCTTTGTCCTCAGCAGCCGCTGCTGCTTTCCTCACCCCTCGCAAAGTGGTGGAAACCGTGTGAACGGGCTTCCGCCTGGGCCTGGTGTTTGGTAGCGGCTTGGACATGCTCCCAACTCAGCAGTGTGCTTGCTGCTCCTGTGCAAGGGCCGCACCTCCCTCACATCCTGCACGCTTGCCTCCATCCGTCATTCAGATCTTGAAACTCTCAGATCCTTGGTCTTGAACGTGGTTCCCTCCCATTTCATGGCCCCTACCCTATCACCCCCCGTATGTATTAACAACTGTAATACAAGCTCTCAGCATCCCCATCTGTATTAACAGCTGTAATACAAGCTCTCAGCACCCCCCCCATCTGTATTAACAGCTGTAATACAAGCTCTCAGCACCCCCCGGTCTGTATTAACAGCTGTAATACAAGCTCTCAGCACCCCCCGTCTGTATTAACAGCTGTAATACAAGCTCTTCCGTGTCAGGACCTCTTATTTTGTTGGCTCTAGTCCCTCCTGGCCTCTTTGGTATCTAGAACAATGTTTGATATTTACAGCTGTTTGCTGCCTAAACATCATTTTGGTCAATAATAAACTGCATATTACCATAAGATAGTAATGGAGTTGAAGAATTCCTGTGGCCCATCAAGGTCACAGCTGTCATGATGTAATGCGGAGTACGACTCAGGTCTTGGTGCAAACAAGCCAGTGTGTGGCAGTCATGTAAAAATGTAGTACAACTGTGTATAGTGCATACTTAATAGTGCTAATAAATGGCTTACTGATCTATGTAAGTTTTTATTGTCGTAGAGTATATTCTTGTTTTGATTGATTGATTGATTGATTGATTGATTGAGAGACAGTCTCACTGTGTAGCCTTGGCTGGCCTGGAACTCACTATGTAGACCAGGCTGGCCTCGAGCTCACGGAGATGTGTGAGTAGAAAGCTTACTGGACAACAGCAACAACCCCAGCATCCCATGTGTGGTGCCTCAAGAGGCCACACGAGGTCAGGAACGTAGTTCAGTGAGAAAGCAGTTGCCTTGCATGTGTAGTGTCTCAGGTTCCATCTCCAGTTCCACCTAGGCCTCCCTCCTGAAAGCAGCCACACTGAATGACAGGCCTCTACCATCTAGCTTTGTGTAAATGCACTGTTTGTGTTCATAATGTAGCATTTACACATTTACACAAAGAAATCACCTAAACATTTCTTAGAATATGTCCCTGTGCAGAACCAGGGGCTGGCCCTCAGAAAAGGTTTCCCATATATAACGGCTGCACAGACTGGCCCGAGTTCATTTGAAGACCGTTAACTCTCTCATTCCTTGTCATTCCCTGAAGAGCCTGTATAGTGGTTGTTCCTGTTTGCATAACACAGTGTCTGGCTCTGTGCAGTTCTGGAAGCAGACCTGCACTTGCAGGCTTCACCATCTGATTGGCTTGCTGGACGTGGCATCAAATTGGAGTCACCTACTTAGGTATACATGTCATGATGGTAAAATTGGATACTTGTATAGGATTCCCCCCACCTTTCTTTCCCTTCCTTCCTTCCTTCCTTCCTTCCTTCCTTCCTTCCTTTCTTTCTGAAATACAGAATAACAAACACCCACATTTTCACCCATCCATAATTAATAGTGAAGTTGTAGAGTGTGTGCCTGGAATGTACCAGGCCCTTGGTTCAGTTCCCAGTAATACAAAAAGCCAAAAACTAAACAAACAAAAGCAAAGTCATTAATAAGGATTGGCATTGTTCATTTGATTCCAGTCAGGTTCAGAAGAACTCAAGAATTACACCCATGACCAAACCCCTACTAGGCTGTCAGGCCCTGTCTCGTCTTACTGCATACATTAGCTGCCCTTCAGTACCTTATCTGCCCTCTCCCTTTTCCTCTCTCTCCCTTTTTATCACTCCACAAATAATCTACAATCCAAACACTATGCTTAATATTTAGCCTCTAGATTATGATTACTGCTGTATCTTCATTGTCCCCCAAGGCCAGAAAAGCTTGGTCTTAGCCTATGGCCCAGGGGAAGATGGCCGAACAAGCGGTAGAGCATAGAGGAAGAAGTCAGTCCCTCAAGGTGCTGTGCCCTTGAAAGGGATGTCTCTGACTTCTGTCACCATGAGTTCAGCAGGTCTTTTCTGTCATATGCTGTCACTGTGGTGTATTGTGCATACCACCACAGGTTCAAAGCAATGGCCAAGCTGAAACAACCTCAAGCCAAAGTCAACGTTCCTCTTTCTGTCTTAGACATTTGGCCATAATGATAGTAAGTTTACACATATTTGGCTTTTGAGGTGTTCTTGGGTTGGTAGACAGCTCTAGAGTAAGCCATCATAGAAATGTGATTGGAGGATTGAGATGGCTCCGTGGGTAAACTGCTTACAGGCAAGCATGAGTTCCTGAGGTCAGTTCCCAGAACCCACGAAACAGCTGAGGGCAGCAGGATGAATCTGTCTTTACCACTGGAAAAGTTGAGAAAGGCAGATCTTGGAGGTTAGCTAGCCAAAATTGTGATCCCTGGGTTCAACGAGAGACCCCGATTAAAAAAATATGTAGTGGAGAGTGATAGATGAAAGATACCGAACATTGACCTGTGACCTCCATACACACACACAGGAGATTGCCCACTCACATGCACACATACACCCCCACACACACACACTTGAAATTTGACTGGAGAATTTCTTCTCTGATAGTAATTGAGTTGATTCTTGTATACAGAAAAATCCAGAGTTTTCTGAAGTTAAAATTCAAATTGGGTTCCTGTGGAAAATGATTTATCAAGGATTAAGCACATTGTTTAATGATTGATGTGGGTGGGCCCAAACCCCTGTGGATGGTGTCACCCTGTTACCAGCTGGTTCCCTGGGTATGTAAGAAAGCCAGCTGAGCGAGCCATGGGAAGAAAGTCAGTAAGCAGTGTTCCCTTGTGGCTTCTGCTTCAGTCCTTGCCTCTACGTTTCTGCTGTAGCTTTCTCTGATGACGGATTGTGACCTGTAAGCCAAATAAACACTTTATACCCCAGGTTGCTTTTGGTCATGTTCTTTACCACAACAATGTAAGACAAACTGAGATACCCTCAGGTCATCTTTAAGTCACATACACATGTGCTTATCTCCAGAGCAGCAGTCCTCAGCCTATGGGACACGACTCCTTTAGAGGTCACATGGCAGACATCCTGCATCTCATATATTTATATTATGATTAATAACAGTAGCAAAATTATAGTTATGAAGTAGCAATGAAATAATTTTATGGTTGGGGCTCACCATAACATGAGGAACTGTATTAAAGGGTCTCAGCATTAGGAAGGTTGGGAACCACTGCTCTAGAGTAACCATTAGAGAATGAACACAAATAATAGCTGGTGTGTTGGTTTGAAAGCAAATGGCCCCCAAAGGGAGCTATGTGAGTTTTATCTCAATAGGCAAACTATGCACGGTGGGTCACACCTGTAGCTCTGGTACTTAGGTAACTGAGTATGAGGATCATGACTTCAAGACCAGTCTAGGTTACACACTCACAGGCCAGCCTGGGCTACATATCATCACCCTGACTCAGAAAATAAAATCTGAGAGTTGGAGACATGGCTGGCTCAGCAGCTAAGAGCATGTACTGTTCTTCCAGAAGACCTGGGTTTGATTCCTAGCACCCATGTGAGGCGCCTCACATAGAAACTCCAGTCCTGGGGGTATGCAACTTCTCTGGCCTCTGTGGGCACCTGCATGCATGTGACAGACCTATACACAGACATATAATTTAAAATAATAAAAATAAATCTTTAAAAAAAATAGAGGCTGGAGAGATGGTTCAGTGGCTGAGAATACTTGGTGCTCCTACAAAGAGCCCAGGTAGTTTCCGGCACCCACAGGATGGTTCACAACTATCCATCCGTAACTCTGTCTCCAAGGGATCTGGCATCTTCTCTGTGGACACCATACATGCATGTGGTGCATATACAAACATGTACTAATAATATATAGGCACATAAAATAAAATGTAAATTTGCCATACTAATACAACTGAGAAAAATAACATGCTTAATAGATGCAAAAAATAGCTTTTTAATTTTGAAGTTCTGTTACCTTTTTTGTTATTGTTGTTCCCTGTGCTTTTGGTGTTATAGCCAGAAAGTCACTGTCAAATCCAGTATATAAATTTTCTTAAAGGTTAATTAGGCAGTGAGTGGTAGTGCATACATTTAAATCCCAGCATTCAGGAGGCAGCAGTATGGGGATCCCTGTGAGTTCAAGGCCAGGCTAGTCTACAAAGTGAGTTCCAGAACAGCCAGGACTTCACAGGGAAACCCTGTCTCAAAAAACTAAAACTAAATAAATAAATAGATAAAATAAAATAAAATCTTAGGGGTTAGAGAGATAGCTGAATGGTTAAGAGCATGGTGCTCTTCAAGAGAGCTTGAGTTTGATTCCCAGCACCTACACTGAGCAGCTCAAACTCCCCAGAACTCCAATGACAAGGAATCCAATGCCCTCTTCTGGGCTCCGCCACACAGGTACAGATGATTTTGTGTGTGTGTGTGTACTCATGCACACACATTGTTCTAGTTTGCTTTCTGTTGCTGTGATTAAAACATGACTATATCCTGGTCTACAAAGCAAGTGTCAAGACAGCCAGAGCTGCTACACAGAGAAAGCTTGTCTCAAAAAAATCAAAATCAAAACAAAACAAACCAACCAAACAAACAACACATGACCTTAAACAACTTGGGGAGAAAGGTTTATTACATTTTACAGGTTAGAGCCTATGATCATGAGACGTCAAGAGGAGACACCTGTAGCAGAAACCAGAGGAATGATTTACTGGATTGCTTCCTCTGGCTTGCTCAGCTACCACCTGCCCAATGATCCAACACCACAGTGGGCTGGACCCTCCTTCACCAATCAACGATCTAGAAACTGTCCCAGGAACATGCCCACAGGCCATCTGATGGAGGCCGATTCTTCAACTGAGGTTCCCTCTTCTGGAGTTCCTCTAGTCTGCCTTCAGCTGACAATAAAAACTAACCAGTACCCTTCCTGTTGCGGCCTCAGAGAACAGCAGCCATGGCCCTGCGCTACCTCATGGCTGTGGGTCTCAACAAGAGTCACAAGGTGACTAAGAACATCAGCAAGTCAAGGCACAGCTGACAGGCGGGCACCTCACAAAGCACACCAAGTTCTTGTGGTACATGATCCAGGAGGTGTGTGGCTTCGCGCCCTACGAACAGCGTGCCATGGAGATGCAAGGTCATCAAGAAGAGGACGGTGGGCACTTACATAGGCGCCAAGAACAACCGGAGGAGCTGAGCATTGTGCTGGCTGCCATGAGGAAGACAGAGGCCAAGAAGGACTGATCCTCACCCCCACCCCTGCTCCCAATAAATGTTGCCGTGGCACAGAAAACCAACCAACCAACCAACCAGCACATACGGTCACATAAAATAAAAAAGTTTAGTTTTCCATTGTGCGTTTTTAAGTTTTGCTTTCAAAAAGCATGTGTGTGTGTGTGTGTGTGTGTGTGTGTGTGTGTGTGTGTGTATGTGCACATAAATTCACACGGAACAACTTTCCAGTCAATGTTAGTGTTTCACTACGTGGGTCCAGGTGGTCAGGCCTGCTAACAAGGCCTTTACCCACTAAGCCATCTCACCAGCACTCTATACAGTTTGAAGTGCAGGTCTTGGATCCCATTTTAGTATAAAGTTTAAGTCGAATTCATTTTTTTACATATATACGTTTTTAATGTTTAAATTTAATTTTTTTATATGTATGGATGTTTTACCTACATGTATGTCT